AAATTGCCATCATATTGTCACATGTTAACCGAGAAAAATCCAGGAACTATTGCACACATTGAACTCGACTCGAATAATAGGTTCTTGTACTTCTTCTTAGCGTTGGGCCTAGTGTACGTGGTTTTCGAGAATACATGAGGCCAGTAATTTGTGTTGATGGAAGTCATTTGAAGGGCCAATATAAGGGAACACTACTAGTAGCTGCAGCGCAAGATGCTAACCTACAAATATATCCTCTTGTGTGGAGTGTTGTCGATGGGGAAACAAATGCATCGTGGTATTGGTTCTTTACAAAGTTGAAAGATGTCATTGATGATTCAAACCAGCTAGTGTTTGTCTCGGACAGGAAGAAGAGTATTAAGCGGGCAATTACGAGGTTGTTCCCACTTTCTCACCACGGTGCCTGCATCTGGCATATCGAGAAAAATCTTATCGCAAGTTATAGTAGTAGCAATGTCATCTTCTTATTCAAGCGGGCAGCGCTAGCATACCGCGTATCGGAATTTGATCAGTTTATGACACAGATAAGAACCATTCGACCGTCAATGGCATCTTACTTGGAACGTGCCGGTATATCCACCTGGTCACGGGCACATTTTGTTGGTAATCGGTACAACGTTATGACGAATAACATTACGGAGTCACTGAATTCAGTCCTAAGGCGACAATAACATTGCGGAGTCACTGAATTCAATCCTAAGGCGACAAAGAAGTTTCCCTATAACCTCGTTAATCGAAAATATTACGTCATTGATGCAACGATGGTTCTACGAGAGAAAAAGTGCATCCACGAAATGTAGTACGACTGTGACACCAAAAATTGATGATGAATTGAGAAAATCATTCGACGCCGGTGCAACTTTACCAGTATGAAATTTGGACAAACTCGTTTTTGAGGTAGTATAGCTACCGAACTTTGTACTGTCGACCTTATAGGTAACACATGTTCATGTCGAGAGTTTCAGATGCGACAAATCCCATGTTCACATGCATCCCGAGCTGCTTGCGCAAAAGAAAAATCATTGTATGATTTGTGCTCCTCTTACTACACCACAGAATATTGGCGAGCTGCGTACAATGAAGTTCTTCACCCCGTTGGCCGAGAGTCAGATTGGGTTGTTCCTCAATCTATTCGTTCCGTCGAAGTTTTGCCCCCGAATATATGTAGAGCACCAGGTCGACCTCCTACCCAACGTCAACGGTCAAGAACTGAAAGGTCGACGTGGAGACGAAAATGCGGCCGGTGTGGGGGTTTTGGACATAACAGGCAAACATGTCAGAATTCGACATCTTTAAGTGACACGTATACTTGAATGACATTGTGTATTCTGATCGTCAAATGCCCTGATAACATGAATTATCAAT